ATTAGGAAGGAATACAGATGAGTTCTGGACAGAACGGGTGATGGCCACTTCCTGTCCAAAAATTTGGGCCGATCGCATCTGATAGGATCATCAAGGCAGGCGCTACAAGAAATCTCATTCAATATAGGGTCACAGCCATCATCGAGCCCAAGCGGTAAGGAGAAGTATTTATCCTCCAGTATCATCAATACATGGTACAGCCGAATTTTTTCACTCTTGCGGCCATAAATCAAAATCGATCGTGTTAATATACTCTGTATCACCGTGTTCCAGAACTGCCAGGTCAAAATCGTACCGAAACCACCAGGTCAACGTCCTAACTGACTACCACCTGCGACCAACTTGACAACCAGAATCAGTATTCAGAGCCCAAAATGAGTTCCAAAGTAGTTGATAATGATAGATTTAGTCGTTCAATAGGTGGACAAGTCGCATTAGAGTCGTTCACGTTCACTTGTACGGCATCTCCATCGATCACACCACCTGCCTCCTCGCCTCCACCTTCTGTGAAACACATATAAAACGGGCTTTCTGGCACCCTAAGCTGTCTCATTGCTTCAATGAATGTCTCAAAAATGATTTGAAAGTTGCTTCTGTGCTCGTTAACATTGGAGGATCTAAAATATATGAGACAGAGGAGCGGGTGGGGACAATTTTGTGCTTTGGTCGAAAGTTTTGACTGGCGGTTCTGGAACACTGTATGTATAGCAATTGAATGACACCCAGCATGTGGTTAGGAAGATGAGTGGCCCATAAAGTGGATCAGAAGGAATCGACACAAGGTAGAGGATGTCAATGTACCATGAAAGTTGTTTGTATTCCTAACACATCCTACACAATTCAAAACAGGGTACATGTTCATTTATGGTTGGCTCAGGCTTTGAACTTCTCCGTGAAGGATAGATATCTTTTGATGGTAAGCCATTATCCACTCCGAGTGATACTTTGAATCAAGGCAAAGCTCGGGATTGAAAGTAAATTTGTTTATAATTCCTCGATACATTACTCAACCATGATTAGCTTACTTGGGTTTTCCTCTTCACTCTCTGGGTTACATTGCAAGACCTCAAGCATCCATCGCTTTGCTTAAACAAGATTTCAGATAGCTGGTGCAATATACACCGCTACATCTGAAAATTAGAGCTTACATCGCCTTTTCACAATGTTCGAGCCTGTGTGCACATCTATTGTGAGTTGCTAAACCAGCTCTACGGTGGCCCTAAGCCGCCAGGTTGACACCACCTGACACTAAGTCGTCAAGTGAAATATGAATTATACGGGCTTCAGTTCATCAAAGAATTACTATTAACTATACTCCAATTGAAACTTAAAGGGGGAACTCAGATAAATGCTCTTTCAAGCCTCAAGTACCATGTTCCTCTGTGCAAAGCCACCTGCCTCCCATGTCCAAATATTTTAAAGGCTTGTTATCAGAGCTGGAGATAAATACAAC